CATGTAGATATGACCATACGTATTTAATACAGTGCATTACCCCTGTACAAATGCAAAAAAAATTAACATTTATAGATCAGTATGGCTGTCAATTTCTGTACAATGCCAACTCAACACAGTAAATTGGGAAAACCTTTCCCAAAGTTGACAGCACAGGTAAAGTTTCCAAAAATTCAAATTATATATATATATGCATATATGTGTGTATATAAAGACCAATAATAGCAGTATGTTATGCATCAATAGCAGCAACAGCTTTTCCAGGTTCTGCAGTCATGTGAACAAAATTATAGGCATTCAGCACATTCCATCTGTAGGTTTCTTTTGATGATAGTCAGTTATGCTGTAATTCTGTTTGTTATCTCTCTGCATGTGTAGGTCCAGAGCACCTTTGGATGCTTACTTTCAGGTGAGCAGGAGCCAGCCTCACTTGCCAGCTTCAGAGATTAGGAATCCAATGTCTGAAGATGCCCAGGTATCGGGCAGTTCTGATTCCGACAGTGACAGCTCTACAGAGTCTGAAGAAGTTGTCCAGACAGAGCCCAGAGCCGTTGCTGCAGAAGGTCAGTAGCAGCCAGGTTGTGCTCACAAGACTAAAGGCCACAAAGCTATTTTATGTGATCTGTGTCCCAACGAGTCTCTATAATGACATTTGACAGTCCTTTTATTACACATCAGAGAAAAGTGTAGATTCTATTTATTTATTTATTTATTTATTTATTTATTTATGGTGCCGGGGATTGAACTTGGGTCTTTACACTTGCAAGGCAGGCCACCAAACCACTGAGCTAAATCCCCAGCCCTAGATTTTTTATTTAAAAGAAAAATTTTGTAAATTACAGTACCTTGTCTCAATTGTCACTTTCAAATTCTCATAGAATATTTTGTATCGTGTAAGTGAAACTTGAGTAGTAAGTGAGCAGAGACCTCTAAGACCTCTAATGCAGGTAGCCTGCTTACAGTTAAAAACTTACTGAGATGGGTGTGATGGCGCCCATGCCTGTAATCCCAGCACTTGGGAGGCTGAGGCAGAAGGATCACTGTGAGTTGGAGACCAGCCTGGGCTACACACTGAGTTCCAGGTCAGTCTCAACTACATAACGAGACCCTGTCTCACAT